ACAACTTGCCGAACTACTTTCCTCAGCACCAAAACGGGCCAGTATCTCGGCTCACCGGACGCTTTCGGGGGTAAGTCGGTGTGAATGCACAACACTGATGACGGGGATGACACACAGATTTATGTCAAAAAATCCAAACTATCCCTTTAAGGAGGAGATTGAGAAGGAGAAGGACGAGGTTTTTGGCCGTGGTGTTTTATGGGACAGTTTGTTTAAAGTAATGTGTGGATGTGGAGACGGAGCCAAGAGTGGTGAGTGGTGATGTGCTTCACTTCAGTCACACGGAGTTCAGTAACAATTTTCACCTACTTCAGCGCAGAATAGTGATGTTTGTGTCTTGTTGATAACGTGTAGGTGGATGAATGCACTTTGACCGTTCAGACTGAAGTCACATGTCAAAAGATCAGATATGTATCGGTTTCAGGAGCACAGATCCAAGTGTCCCACATTTGAAAAAATCAGATCTGTGTGGTTCAGACTGACATTAAAAGATCAGATACAGGAACATAGAGACAAAAAATTGTGTTTGTGTCACTTCAGGTGCATCTGAACGTAGACTTTTTCTCTCAGGTTTATTTGCCGTGGAAGTTTTGCTGCTGGAAGAATTTACCTGAAAAATCGTTGCAGTTTTGTGGACAAACGTGTCCAGTAGAACTTCAGAGACCAACCAGAGAGAATAAAAGAATTAAAATTAAATTAAAACAGGCACCGACTGTTTGGTGTTGTTTGAAATCAACTTTAAATTAAATATTGGAAATAGATGTCGAAATCTGTTTTTTGTCACTAAAATGTAAAAATGAAATAAACTGTTTTCCCATTTTATTGTTTTTCGTTCTTAATTGAAATTCAAAAGAACAAATGGGACAAGCATCGTTCTGGTCGTTTCTTCTCACTGTTCCTCTGAACTTGTATTTGGAGTGATTCAAGTTGGAGGAAACTTGAATCTCTGATTTTCAAGACGACATTTTGTCTTCGTGGGTCATTTTGGTCCAAATGTAAAAAAAAACAACAACTTCTGCTCTAGTGTGAAGTGCAACGATCCATGAGAGGAGCCCACAGCATGGTTCGGTCCTGGTTCGGTCCTGGTTCGGTCCTGGTTCAGTTCTGGTTTAGTTCTGGTTTAGTCCTGGTTTAGTCCTGGTTTAGTTCTGGTTTAGTTCTGGTTTAGTCCTGGTTTAGTTCTGGTTTAGTCCTGGTTTAGTTCTGGTTTTAGACCTGGTTTAGTCCTGGTTTAGTCCTGGTTTAGTTCTGGTTTAGTCCTGGTTTAGTCCTGGTTTAGTCCTGGTTTAGTCCTGGTTTAGTCCTGGTTTAGTTCTGGTTTAGACCTGGTTTAGTCCTGGTTTAGTTCTGGTTTAGTCCTGGTTTAGTCTTCATTTAGTCTTCGTCTAGTTCTGGTCTAGTCCACTTTGTTTAGTTTTGTTTTTTAGTCCTGGTTTAGTCTTACTTTAATGCTGATCTAGTCCTGGTTGAGTTCTGATTTAGTTCTGGTTTAGTCCTGATTGAGTCCTGGTTTGGTTCTGGTTTAGTCCTGGTTTAGTCTCAGTTTAGACTTCATTTAGTTTAGTTTTTTAGTCCTAGTTTAGTCCTGGTTTAGTCCTGGTTTAGTCCTGGTTTAGTCCTAGTTGAGTCTTGGTTTAGTCCTGGTTTAGCTCTCGTTTAGTCTTCCTTTAATGCTGATCTAGTCCTGGTTGAGTTCTGATTTAGTTCTGGTTTAGTCCTGAATGAGTCCTGGTTTAGTTCTGGTTTAGTCCTGGTTTAATTCTTGTTTACTCTTCCTTTAGTCCTGGTTAAGACTTCGTTTAGTCCTGGTGTAGTCGTGAATGTCTGGAACGTTCCACAGTGCGGCATTAAACCTTTCTCTCTCCACGGAGACCAAACCAGACCGAGTTCCGGGTCAGATCTGCGGAGAGGCGCCGCCGCCGCTCACAGTCACAACGTCTGTTTTTATTTTGTTTGTGAGCAGTAAAACCTGCACCTGTAGTTGAATAAATGTAAAGTTTAAAGAGCTGTTTAATTCCAGGCCGAGCGACGACGTATCCATGGAAACGAGCGGGCGAAAAGTTCCACAATGCAGCTTTAAAAACCCCATTTAGAAGAAGAAAGAAGAAGGAGGAAAGAGGAAAGCAGCAGAGACACAGACACTGAGCAGAGACTCAAACACAAAGTGAATTATCTGAAATGTATTACACCCAAGGGAATGTCTGCGCCGAGGAAAAGACCGGAGGAAAAGACGAGAGGAGAGAGGGAGGAGAGAAGGAGGAGAGAGGGAGGAGGAGAGGAGGAGAGAGGAAAGCTGAAGAGGAGAGAAGAGAGGGGAGGGACAGAGAGATGGGAAAGGGGAGGAGAGAAACGAAGAGGGAATTGAATAAAAGTGAGAGAAGATGAGGAGAAAAGAAGAAGAGAAGAGGAGAGGGAGAAGGAGACTGGAGGAAAAGGAGGAAGAGAGGGAGGAGGAGGAGAGAGAAAAGGTGAAGAGGAGAGAAGAGAGGGGAGGGACAGAGAGATGGAGAAAAGGGAGGAGAGAAACGAAGAGGGAATTGAATAAGAGTGAGAGAAGATGAGGAGAAGGAAAGAAGAGAAGAGAGGAGAGGAGATGAGAGGACAGGAGAAGAGAAGAGGAGAGGGAGAAGGAGAGGAGGAGGAGAGGAACAGAAGGAGACTGGAGGAAAAGGAGGAAGAGAGGGAGGAGGAGGAGAGAGAAAAGATGAAGAGGAGAGAGGGAGATGGAAAGAGAGATGTAGAAAAGGGAGGAGGGAGAGGGAATTAAAAAGAGTGAGAGAAGATGAGGAGAAGGAGAGAAGAGAAGAGGAGAGGGAGAAGGAGAGGAGGAGGAGAGGAACAGAAGGAGACTGGAGGAAAAGGAGGAAGAGAGGGAGGAGGAGGAGAGAGAAAAGATGAAGAGCAGAGAGGGAGACGGACAGAGAGATGTAGAAAAGGGAGGAGGGAGACGAAGAGGGAATTAAAAAGAGTGAGAGAAGATGAGGAGAGGGAGAAGAGAGAGGGAGGAGGAGGAGAGAGAAAAGGTGAAGAGGAGAGAGGGAGATGGACAGAGAGATGGGGAAAAGGGAGGAGAGAAACGAAGAGGGAATTGAATAAAAGTGAGAGAAGATGAGGAGAAGGAAAGAAGAGAAGAGAGGAGAGGAGATGAGAAGAGGAGAGGGAGAAGGAGAGGAGGAGGAGAGGAACAGAAGGAGACTGGAGGAAAAGGAGGAAGAGAGGGAGGAGGAGGAGAGAGAAAAGATGAAGAGGAGAGAGGGAGACGGACAGAGAGATGTAGAAAAGGGAGGAGGGAGACGAAGAGGGAATTAAAAAGAGTGAGAGAAGATGAGGAGAGGGAGAAGAGAGAGGGAGGAGGAGGAGAGAGAAAAGGTGAAGAGGAGAGAGGGAGATGGACAGAGAGATGGGGAAAAGGGAGGAGAGAGAGGAGGCAGAAAGAGAAAGAGAAAAGGTGAGGAGAGAGAAAGAGAAAAAGATGAATAGATGAGGAGAGGGAGAGAGAAAAAGATGAGGAGAGAGAGAGAGAGAAGGGAAAAGGGAGAACAGAGGAAGAGAGGAGAGGAGAGGATGAGAAACGGAGCGAGAGAAGATGAGGAGAGAAGGGGAGAGGACGAGACTGAGGGAGTGAGAAGGAGAGAGAGAGAGAAAAAGAGGCGGAGAAGAGAGAAGGAGGGGAGGAGAACAGAGGGAGAGAGAGAAAGAGAAAGAGAGAGTTAGGGGGAGGAGAGGTGAAAAGAGAAGGAAGAGAAGAGGTAAGAAAAAAGGAGATGAGAGGAAGAGGAGAGATAAAATGATAGAAGATGAAGAGAAGAAAAGAGGTAAGGGAGGAGAGAGAAGGAAGAGGAGTGGAGAGAGAGAGAGAGGAGGACAGAAACGAGTGCAGGGAGAAGAGGAGGAGGGAAATAAGAAAAGGAGAGAAAGAGAAAAGAGGAGGAGAGAAAAGAAGGGAGCAGCAGAGGAGAAGAACAGCGGTGAAAAGAGAAGGAAGAAGAGAAGAGGTGGAGAGGAGGAGAAAAGAGAGGAGATGAAAGGAAAGATAAGATGATGGAAGACGAAGAGAAGAAAAGAGGTAAGGGAGGAGAGAGAAGGAAGGAGTGGAGAGAGAAAGAGAGGGAGGGAGGACAGAAACGAGCGCAGGGAGAGGAGGAGGAAGAATAAGAAGAATAAGAAAAGAAGAGAAAAGTAGAGGGGGAGAAAAGAAGATGATGAGAAGAGAAAGGAGAGGAAGAGGATGAGAGAGAGAAAGAGACGAACAGAGCGTGGAGGAGAGAGAAAGACGAGGAGAGGACGGATGGATGGAGAGGATGGAGGGATGGAGTGAGGAGGAGGAGGAGAGCAGCTGCAGAGTGGCTCTAATGGTCCTGATGGAAAAACACAGGCTCATTACGGCTCCATATCTAATCACAGAGGTCAAAGGTCACCGCATCTCACACGCAGGATAACCACTCTGCCAGAGACCACGACCACGAGGGGAATCGAACCCACAACCTCCAGACTCTTCATACAGAGAGGAGACGACGACGGGAATCGAACCCACAACCTCCAGACTCCTCATACAGAGAGGAGACGACGACGGGAATCGAACCCACAACCTCCACTCCTCATACGACTCCACTCATACAGAGACAGAAGAACCCACACCTCCAGACAGAGGACGACGAGAACCCACAACCTCCAGACTCCTCATACAGAGAGAACGATGAACGAGGGAATCGAACCCACAACCTCAGGATCCTCACACAGAGAAGAGACGACGACGAGGGGAATCGAACCCACAACGTCCAGACTCCTCACACAGAGAAGAGACGACGAGGGGAATCGAACCCACAACCTCCAGACTCCTCATACAGAGAGGAGACGACGAGGGGAATCGAACCCACAACCTCCAGGATCCTCAACAGAGAGGAGACGACGACAAGGGGAATCTAACCCAAAACCTCCAGACTCCTCATACAGAGACGAGACGACGGGAATCGAACCCACAACCTCCAGACTCCTCATACAGAGAAGAGACGACGGGAATCTAACCCACAACCTCCAGACTCGTCATACAGAGAAGAGACGACGGGAATCGAACCCACAACCTCCAGACTCTCATACAGAGAAGAGACGATGGGGAATTCTAACCCACAACCTCCAGACTCGTCATACAGAGACAGAACGACGAGGGGAATCGAACCCACAACCTCCAGATCCTCATACAGAGAGAGACGACGACGAGGGGAATCGAACCCACAACCTCCAGACTCCTCATACAGAGAGAGACGACGACGAGGGGAATCGAACCCACAACCTCCAGACTCCTCATACAGAGAGGAGACGACGACGGGGAATCGAACCCACAACCTCCAGACTCCTCACACAGAGAAGAGACGACGACGACGGGAATCTAACCCACAACCTCCAGACTCCTCATACAGAGAGGAGACGACGACGACGACGGGAATCTAACCCACAACCTCCAGGACTCCTCATACAGAGAAGAGACGACGACGACGGGAATCGAACCCACAACCTCCAGACTCCTCATACAGAGAGGAGACGACGAGGGGAATCGAACCCACAACCTCCAGGATCCTCATACAGAGAGGAGACGACGACGAGGGGAATCGAACCCACAACCTCCAGACTCCTCACACAGAGAAGAGACGACGAGGGGAATTGAACCCACAACCTCCAGACTCCTCATACAGAGACAGAACGATGAGGGGAATCGAACCCACAACCTCCAGGATCCTCATACAGAGACAGAACGATGAGGGGAATCGAACCCACAACCTCCAGACTCCTCACACAGAGAGGAGACGGGCTAACCACTCTGCCACAGCCACACAAACACGTTTTCTGTTCTAAAGGCCAATTTACGGTCCAGCGTCAAACCGTCTGCGTCATGACTCAGAGCGTCTGCATCGACCGACGTGCACCTCCCAAACTTTCTAACGACGCGTCAAAACGCCGCCGACAGCAGAGGAAGCGACGCAGACGATCAGAGCTGTGATTGGTCGTCTCTATTCACCGTCTCTGTAGACATTTCCTGTACTCAGCTTTCCTTTCTTTCAGTTTACTTGGAGAAATAATGTGTTTCATGCAGCTTTGCACATGTGTGTTTACGTTTTACACAAACTTAAAACCGCATGACTAACTTACATAAACTAAACACTCAAAAAAAAACAGCTCGCTCCTTGTGCGCTGATGCGGTCAACTTCTGTCGGACTTTAAAAGGACACGACTCAGTGAAATATGAGTGTTCTTCCTGTGACAGAGGGACATGGTACTAATGATGAGTCTGTTCTGTGCTTTTATCGTGTCGGAGATGGAACTTTTCAGAGATCATACGTCTGTAGGTCACACGCATAGTCCGTATATATGAATGGACAGATATCGTCGCCCCCTAGCGTTTTGGCGGTGAATTACTTCGCGGTGCACCTCGACCTCGACGCAGATCCATAAATCAAAAACGACGGCGACGAGGCGACGGCGGCAGAACTACACTTCACCCACATCTGTGACGTTTTAAATCAAAATATTGATCTGAAACGAAGGAATAAAAGAAACAAGAGCGACGATTTCAGGAAAGAAAAGTGTGATAGAGCAGAACTAAACCAGGACTGAACCAGGACTAAACCAGGACTGAACCAGGACTAAACCAGGACTGAACCAGGACTAAACCAGGACTAAACCAGGACTGAACCAGGACTAAACCAGGACTGAACCAGGACTAAACCAGGACTAAACCAGGACTGAACCAGGACTAAACCAGGACTGAACCAGGACTGAACCAGGACTAAACCAGGACTGAACCAGGACTGAACTGTGACTGAACTAGTACTGAACCAGGACTAAACCAGGACTAATCTTGGACTTAAGAGAGAGAGAGGGAGAACCCTGAGTCCGTGGAGCACAGTGTCCGCAAACCGCAGTTGGGCGACGGCTGCGCTGAGTCCCGTGGGGCGTGGAGCTTTGAGCCGGTCATTTCTCCTGTGGTCACCTGGACCCCGAGTCCTAGTTCAGTCCTGGAATCAGTCCTAAATTAGTCCTGGTTTAGTCCTGGTTTAGTCTGTTCAGTCAGTGTTTCTTCTGTCTGTGAAGTCATGACAGTCGAGTTGTGTCTGTGAATTCGTATTCGTACTGAAGAAAGTGAAACCGTTGTGATTGTAATTGTTGATGTTGTAACTTTTCAGTTTGTATTCTGATGGACGCTTCAGTTAGAATGTTTTTAATTTGTGTGTGATTCATCACGGGCACAGGCGGGTAACAGGTGGAATGTTAACGTGTCCGGGTGGGGACAGGTTTGGTTTTCCATTTGAACCGGTCGGACAATCTACATCAGCAGTGTGATACACGAGTTCAACAGTGTCATGACGCTGCTCAAAATAGGTTGGACTCAGGGTCTGACCGATATATCGATTGGCTGATATTATCAGCCGATACGGGCACTTGAAGACATATCGGTCATCGGCCTAAATCTTGCCGATATAGGCATGTTGTACCTTGTTATGAAGCTTACACTCTTTATATTCTGTCCTAAATGTACAGAATATATCCAGTTTACAGACAGATAAATGTCCTAACATGTGGCTCCACATCAGTTTTTATCTGCAGAGTCATTTGTCTGTGTGTGACGCACCTGAATCACATGACGTGACGCAGGTGCTATTGTTTACACCCACAGCCACAGATCCACGTGCACAACACTGAGACGCTGCTTTAAAAGCTTTTGTGTCTGATTCACGATACTGACTATAAATAAAAGAACTTCAGCGTAGTTTGGGCTAGAAATAAAACTACTGCTGTTTTTATAAAAGTGCAAATGCGGAGCAGAGACGATGGACGACACACACACACACACACACACAGATACCGTCCACATGCTGGATTATATTATTTTTACAGACGATCGCTTTGAGTCTGGATTAAAAGGACTTTTGTTTGTGAAGACTTGTGATCTGAGAGGAGCCTGTGTCAGCAGTAAGTGTTGCAAATCTGTCGGTTTTGGAGCTTGTTATTTTGTCTGTTTTGTTACACTGGCCGACTGTAAAGTGACAATAGTGGCTGTATATGCGCTACTGGACCTGCACTGATGTGTAAACGAGTTGTAAATAGATAAACACATGATGTCAAAATAAACTTCCGACGTCCTTTCAAATTACGTTGTGTAAAACCACTACAGTCGTGTAAACACCGAGCGTCGCATCAGGAGCTCGGGGAACGACTCGTGACGGACTCCGGAGTTCATCAGACCAGTTGATGATGTAAGTTTCTGAACGTCTGGTGAAGGCGAGCTTTGCAGTCGGCCTCTCGTGTTCCGTCTCCGTCTGAACCCGAACAGAAATCCTTTGTACAAACTCCCTCCGCGCTTTGAATCGTGGGATAAATCAGAGCAGGAGGACAGAGCTGGAGCACAAACGCAGACACCAAATCCACCAGGTCGACGCGTACCGGCCAGCAGCTCCATCCACCGTGAAATCACCGGAGCTTTCTTTCATTCACACATGTTGGAGTCATCCTTTATTATGAGTCTGTCTGCATCTCCAAAGCTCCAAACGCTCTGTTCCACCTCGTGATGTCATGAAGCGGCAGTTTTTTTTCAAGTGAGCAGCTCCTTTTACCTTCAGTTCAGACGAGCTCGGCAACTCCAGCGTTGAAACGATCCAAACGATTCTAGTGAAGGTGTGTGGAGTTTAAAAACACAGTGGAGCACTTCTTGTATTACCACATGATGACATCACAAGGTGGAACTGAGTGTTTTCAGTTTAAGAGAAAAATGTGTGAATGAAACAAAACACGAGTCCAGGTTTGTTTGTGACGAGGAAACAAGAGCAGAACAACAGTGCAACACGGGGCTTTTATATTTAACACTTTTACATTTAAACTCTAACACTTCCTGTTACGGGTGCAAACAGGAAATGTGCACGGGCGCATTTTGGCTCCATCGTCTCTGGCTCCAGTTTTCTATTGAAAAACGATGCCCCGCTGTCTGTTCCTGCTGCTGTAAACCTCCTCATTTCTGTCGCTCTACATGACCCTGGGGTTTTTCATTATTGTTTTTTTAAATACAGAAGTAAAGTTGACGGGCACATTTTCAGGAGCCTGTGATCAGGGCGAGTGTTCGTGGTCGTGTTTAGGAGTTTGATTTTCAACTTTGTGGAAACCATCTGACCTCACAGCATTAGGATTTGTTCGCTCGACAGTAGGAAGGTAATGTTTTTATTTTTTTATCAATTACTGCTGTTTGGTTGCGATGTACGTAATGAGCCGGAACACTCAGTGGTGTCCAAGTATTTGTGGCACAACAGCCAACAAAGCAGAGAGTGAACATGTCTGTCAACGATCACTGTCGTTTCTGCGAGTTGAACTTGCAAATTAAAGGTGCAATAAAAAATGTGAAAAATTTGAGGAGAGTGTCTGCAGTCTGCCACTGCAACTCAGGTTGGTTCAACTCTTCGCTGACGCAGGTGTGCGGCCTACGACTTCCGGGGTTCATGTAAACCACCTAGTGCAGACATGTCAAACTCAGGCCCAGGGGCCAAATTAGGCCTGCGATATGATTATATTTGGCCTGTGAGATCATATCAAATATGTATTAGAGCTGCAATTAGACTATAGAGACATTATAAATTTAAAATGTTGTTATTATTTTATATTTTGTTTGTTCTAGATTCAGTGTTTAAGAAAAACTTGCGTTGTTGACATTTTTCAATAAATAGTTTGGCCCACGACTTAGTCCCCGTTTTAAAATTTTGGCTCTGTGAATCTGAGTTTGACTCCTTTGGTCTGGTGTATTCTGATTCCAGACTTAGTTACTGGAGAGAAATGAAACTGACTGGAGGCACTAGGTGGCACCAGACTGACTAATAGTGACCTGCAACATGAGGGGAGCAGGACTGATCCCAGGACTGAACAATGAGGACTAAAACAGGACTGAATCATGACTGAATCAGGACTAAGTGTTGGGACGGGCCCATGTAGACCGTCGGGTGACCACAGGAGAAAGGACTGGGTCAGAGCTCTGCGCCCCACGGGGCTCAGCGCAGCCGTCGCCTGATTGCACTTTGCCCTGCTCCACCAGCTCGGGGTTCTCCCTCTCTCAAGTCCAATATTAGTCCTGGTTTAGTCCTGGTTTAGTCCTGGTTCATGTGTTGTAGTCTGTGATTTATGTTCTGTTGGTGGTTATGAACGGCATTAATATAATCATGTTTTACACATCGCTGACGTCATGAATCGTACACCCCACTTAAAAACTCCCCACTACACCACGGACAGTAAAGATCTTCAGAGGGACGTGTTTAACAGCACAGATCAGGTCTCCTGTTGGAGCTCAGGTCAGTCAGGTCAGTCAGGTCAGTCTGGTCCTTCTGGTCAGACTGTTTTAAAATGAAGCTCAGATTTGAGTCGAACCCGAGTAACAGAACTTCAGACAGAGCAGTGCCTACAGCTAGAATTACACCCCACAGATGACTCCTCCCGTATAAAGTATATTTCTGTAGTACTGACCCTCGCAGGCCTTCCCGTCGCCCTTGTACAAAGTATATAAAGTATATAAAGTATATGAAGTATATTTTTGCAGTACTGACCCTCGCAGGCCTTCCCGTCGCCCTTGTATAAAGTATATAAAGTATATAAAGTACATAAAGTATATTTTTGCAGTACTGACCCTCGCAGGCCTTCCCGTCGCCCTTGTATAAAGTATATAAAGTATATGAAGTATATTTTTGCAGTACTGACCCTCGCAGGCCTTCCCGTCGCCCTTGTATAAAGTATATAAAGTATATAAAGTATATAAAGTATATTTTTGTAGTACTGACCCTCGCAGGCCTTCCCGTCGCCCTTGTATCCAGGTTTGCAGATGCAGTTGAAGGATCGGGCCGTGTTCTGACAGATGGCGTCGATGTGACAGTCGTCTGTTCCCTCTGCGCACTCGTCTGCATCTGAGGAAGACAAGAGCACCAATCAGAGATGAGGAGAGACACAAACCAGCCAATCAGAGACAAGGAACACACAACAGGACCAATAAGAGACGAGAAGAGACCCAAACCAACCAATCAGAGATGAGGAGAGACTCGAACCGACCAATCAGAGACGAGGAACCCACAAGAGGACCAATCAGAGACGAGGAGAGACTCAAACCAACCAATCAGAGATGAGGAGAGACACAAACTGACCAATCAGAGACAAGGAACACACAACAGGACTAATAAGAGACGAGAAGAGACCCAAACCAACCAATCAGAGATGAGGAGAGACTCGAACCGACCAATCAGAGACGAGGAACCCACAAGAGGACCAATCAGAGACGAGGAGAGACTCAAACCAACCAATCAGAAACAAGGAACACACAAGAGAACCAATCAGAGATGAGGAACACACAAAAGAACCAATCAGAGACGAGGAGAGACTCAAACCGACCAATCAGAGACAAGGAGCTCACAAGAGAACCAATCAGAGACGAGGAGAGACTCAAACCGACCAATCAGAGAAGAGGAACACACAAGAGAACCAATCAGAGATGAAGAGAGACACAAACGGACCAATCAGACACGAGGAGAGACACAAACGAACCAATCAGAGCCGAGGAAGAGACAAGAAAACCAATCAGAGATGAGGAGAGACTCAAACCGACAATCAGAGTCGAGGAGAGACTCAAACCAACCAATCAGGGACAAGGAACACGCGACAGGACCAATCAGAGAAGAGGAGAGACTCAAACCGACCAATCAGAGACAAGAAGAAACTCAAACTGACCAATCAGAGACAAGGAGAGACTTAAACCAACCAATCAGGGACGAGGAACACACAAGAGGACCAATCAGAGGAAAGAAAGAGGAGAAAAGGAGAGGAGCAGAGGAGGAGCAGAGAGAGGGGGAAGAGGGGGGAGGAAGAGTGGAAGAAGAGGAGAACAAGAGGAGGAAGAGGATGACGAGAGGGGGAGAGGAGGAGAGGAAAAGAAGAGGAGAGGAGAAAGAGGAGGAGGGGAGGAAGAGAAAAGCAAAAAACGATGACAGGAAGAGGGGAGGAGAGGAAGAGACGAGGAGAGAAAGAGAGGAGCAGAGGGGGAAGAGGAGGAGAGGAGAGGACGAGGAGGAAGAGGAGGAAAAAAGGAGAGGAGCAAAGGGGGGAAGAAGAGGAGCGGAGGAAGAGTGGAAGAGGAGAAGAGGAGGAAGAATGGAAGAGGAGGAAGAGAGGGGGAGAGGAGGAAAGGAAAAGAAGAGTAGAGGGGGAAGAGGGAAGCAACAAAAAAGGACAACAGGAAGAGTGAGAGGAGGAGTGGAGAGGGGGAAGAGGAGGAGAGAAGGAGAGCAGCAGAGGGGGGAGAGGAGAAAAAGAGACGAGCAGAGAGAGGTGGGGAAAGGAGGAGAGGAAGAAGAGGAGGAAGAGCAGGAAGAGATGGGGAGAGGAGAAAAGGAGGAGAGGAAGAAGAGTGAAAGAGGAGGAAGAGAGGGGGAGGGGAAGAGAGGAGGGAGAGTGGAAGAGGAGGAGAGGAAGAGAAGGAAGAGAGGGGGAGAGGAGGAGAGGAGGAAGAGAGGGGAGAGGAAGAGAGGAAGAGAGGGGAGAGGAGGAGAGGAAGAGGAGGAAGAGAGGGGGAGAGGAGGAAGAGAGGAGGAAGAGTGGAAGAGGAGGAGAGGAAGAGAAGGAAGAGAGGGGAGAGGAGGAGACGAGAAGAGGAGGAAGAGAGGGGGAGAGGAGGAGACGAAGAGGAGGAGACGAAGAGGAGGAAGAGAGGGGGAGAGGAGGAGAGGAAGAGGAGGAAGAGAGGAGGAAGAGTGGAAGAGGAGGAGAGGAAGAGAAGGAAGAGAGGGGGAGAGGAGGAGAGGAAGAGGAGGAAGAGAGGGGGAGAGGAGGAGAGGAAGAGGAGGAAAGAAGGGAGGAGAGAGAGAGAGGAGGAAGAGAGGGGGAGAGGAGGAGAGGAAGAGGAGGGGAAAAAAAGAGAAAAGCAGAGAAGTGGAGAGGGAGAAGAGGAGGAGAGGAAGAGTGGAAAAGGAGGAGGAACGTAGGAAAGGAGGAAAGTAAGAAAAGGAGGACAGGAGGAGGGAGAGGAGCACAGAGGAGCAGAGCCAGGGGAGCAGACAGGAGCAGACAGGAGCAGACAGGAGCAGACAGGAGCAGACAGGAGCAGAGACAGGAGCAGACAGGAGCCGACAGGAGCAGACAGGAGCGACAGGAGCGACAGGAGCAGGAGACAGGAGCCGACAGGAGCCGACAGGAGCAGACAGGAGCAGACAGGAGCCGACAGGAGCCGACAGGAGAGACAGGAGCAGACAGGAGCAGACAGGCAGCCGACAGGAGCAGACAGGAGCCGACAGGAGCCGACAGGAGCGACAGAGCAGCGACAGCCGACAGGAGCAGACAGGAGCAGGCAGGAGCCGACAGGAGCCGACAGGAGCCGACTGGAGCCGACACACAGAGGCTCAGTGTTGGTCGGACCCAGAGGACGGGTCTGGTCCTGGCGCGGAGCCCGACTCACACAGTCCACAAACAGAAAAACATGCCCACGTCCTGCAGCCGCTCACTCTGCCCCACGCGCCGATTACCCCCAGTCTACTGCAATACACCTCTGATCAAGTATCGAAAAACAGACGCTTGTCGATACTAAAACTAAAATCCAAACTAGATCCTGGTTTTCCACAGGTTTGGATCCTAAAAAAAAAAAGTCCCAGAACGTTTCCTGAAAGTGTTTAGAACAAACTGGAACAAGAATAAAACACAGAGACTAGAACACAAACATGGACCTGGTCTAGACCTGGTTTAGACCTGGTCTAGACCTGGTTTAGTTTAGTCCTGGTTTAGACCTGGTTTAGTTTAGTCCTGGTTTAGACCTGGTTTAGTTTAGTCCTGGTTTAGACCTGGTTTAGTCCTGGTTTAGACCTGGTTTAATCCTGGTTTAGACCTTGTTTAGACCTGGCTCAGACCCGCCTTAGACCTGGTTTAGTCCTGGTTTAGACCTGGTTTAGTTTAGTCCTGGTTTAGACCTGGTTTATTCTTGGTTTAGTCCTGGTTTAGACCTGGCTCAGACCCGCCTTAGACCTGGTTTAGTCCTGGCTTAGACCTGGCTAAGACCTGGTTTAGTCCTGGTTTAGTCCTGGTTTAGACCTGGGTTAGACCTGGGTTAGTCCTGGTTTAGTCCTGGTTTAGTCCTGGTTTAGACCTGGTTTAGACCTGGCTCAGACCCGCCTTAGACCTGGTTTAGTTTAGTCCTGGTTTAGACCTGGTTTAGTCCTGGATTAGACCTGGTTTAGTTTAATCCTGGTTTAGACCTGGTTTAGTCCTGGATTAGACCATGTTTACACCTGGTTTAGTCTTGGTTTAGTCCTGGTTTAGTTTAGTCCTGGTTTAGTCCTGGTTTAGACCTGTCTTAGACCTGGTTTAGACCTGGTTTAGACCTGGTTTAGTCCTGGTTTAGTCCTGGTTTAGACCTGTCTTAGACCTGGTTTAGACCTGGTTTAGACCTGGTTTAGTCCTGGTTTAGACCTGGTTTAGTCCTGGTTTAGTTTAGTCCTGGTTTAGTCCTGGTTTAGACCAGGTTTACTTTAGTTCTGGTTTAGAAACAAAACACAACTTCAGTTCTGTTTGTGACGAGGAAACAACATTAGAACAGATCAGAAAATGTTCCAGTCCAAACCCTTTAAATTTTAAACTTTTTTCTGTCGATATCAGTGTTTGTTTGTTTTTTCGATATATCGGTCTGGAGTTTGGGCTCGTTCGTTTGTGCTCCTCGTCCTGTTCTGGTCTCAGAGTGTGTCAGGGCTGATTCTGTCACCTGCTCGTTTCTATGGAGACGTCATTTATCTGCCAGGAATGTTCCACAGTGTGACATTAAACAGCTCTGCCTACATCATATAAGTACATTAATAAAAACTGTCACAATTTACAACAAAATATAAAATCTTTAGAATGGAGAAAAGTCTTTGAATGTGCAGTAAACTGTGACAATGATGTAACAATAAAAAAAATATCGAGATATCGTACCGTCACAATATATCGGATTATAAGATTTTTGTTTAAATGCACGATTTTATTATTACAACAATGAATAATTGATCTGTTTTATAGAACGCTAGAAGACTAGAGCTGAGTATTGGTAAGAAGTTTTCGATACGATACAAACCTCGATACACAGGCCATGGATACGATACACATCGATACAGTGCACTTTCGATTCAGTACGATATATTTCAAACTGATTCAGTATGGTTCAGTTAAAATAAAGTCTAAATCATGTTTGTGATACTAAAAGTCTTTGTTAAACTTCTTCTTGTGCAAAGTTCAGATGAAACACAAACATTTAAATCCTCAAAACAGTGAAAATGTCAAAAGTGTCAAATAAACGAGTTTCCTTCCACTGAACAAACAACAAAACTGTAGCTGGAACTAAATAATTTAGTAAAATAAACCAAAAAATCCTCTTGGTGATATATCGATACAGCAGCCCACGATATCGATACAGAATCATCACATCAAACGATACGATATATTGATATTTCTGCACAGCCCTGTCAAAGACACTTTACAGCATCATTCATTCACTTCAAACTCGGTAAACTTCTGTTGTAGCCACAGCTGCCCTGAGGCAGACTGACAGAAGTGCAGCTGCCAATCTGAGCCATTGGCCCCTCTGAACACACACACACACACACACACACACACTCTGGTTTCACACTGGGCAGTGTGGGTGAAGTGTCTTGCTTAAGGACACAACAACAGTTTTTTGTTCTGGCTCCTGATGTTTCCAGAGTCTCGTCCAAGTCCAGACCAGGACACAGAGCAGAGTTTACAAACATATTTTAAAAGTCACAAATCTTCATGACCCAAGTCCATAAACATGATTCATAAATCACAAAATAAAGTTGGATTTTTCATTTTTGAACATTAATGAGGATGTTTTATTGTCGACTGAGTCGTGTCTCTGAACAGTTTTTACTCAAGTTTTGAATGAAAAACTGAAACTGAAACAG